GAAAGGAAAATAGGAGAGAAAGGGAAAGAAAAAAAGAGAAAGAAGAAAGGTAGGGGAGATCAGTTACGTGTAGATTGGGGGGAGGGGCACTGGCGTACTGATGGGGAAGGGGACTTGGGGGGGGGGGGGGGGGGGTGACAGATGCCCCCCAAATATAATTCAAACATGGTTTATTTCTAATTCGATACCGGTGATTACCGGTGATTTACAAATGTTGCTGAAATGACATAATTTTCCGAGATTTTTCCTCAATGTTTAATAAATCATACTTTTAATGCGTTTGTGGGACAATGGCAAATTCATTCATAAAGAAAGAAAGAATAGTGACGCCAATTAGTGTCCTGCCAGTGTCACAAATAAGGTATGCTGATATGCTCATCTGACCGCAATCAAATGCCTATACCCGTGAGCTTCTGGGGGTTCCACCCCTTGACCCCCGCAGGTTCTTCGCCCTTAGACACCACGCAAATTTCACAACGCTCTACTTGATCGTAAATACCTCCCCCCCCCCCCACCTACTTAGAGAAACATTTAGCGGAACCTGCATGTAAGAGTGGGGTGGTGCAGATTTTTTTGTCTACCCCCCCCCCCCCCCCCCTCCCGGTTTTTGCTCATTTCGCCACTGCCGGTGTCACTATTACGTACCAATATTTGGCTTGCATAATTTCAAATTTGGGCCCCCCCCCCCTAAGAAATCCTGGATCCGCGCCTGTTCACAGGTTGTCCAATTATTTACTGGTCTGTAGGCCTAGGGCTAGGCCTCAAATTTTCTACTCTCGTACTCGTCTAACTATCTCGGTATCTGGTCCAAATTTTGGCGCTTGTTCACAACTCATGTCAACTGTGACCATGCTTTTTAGTGTTAGGTATTAACTTTCTTCTGACCCAACTATGAAAGTAGTTTTTCAACAGTTGGACCTAAAAGTAACAAAAAGCTTGGATCATTGATGCAGCTAGCGCTAGTGAAGTGATCTGCCTATAGACCCTATACTCGTATCTAATTTTCAGAGAGGGTCTCGCCCGAAAGTTTGGGCCAAGGATCAAGGAGTGACGATGGCAATCGAGCTGAAATATTCTCACGACGATAAATAACGAATCAAAAGTTCGAGTGTAGATTACTCCTAAATTCATCAGATATAACCATTTTAAACCACTTCACAATGTACAGACAAATCAGCAGATTCATACCTACAGCAGATATGTTTATAAATATGATTCAATTTACGAGATTTGAACGTAATTACAGCTGTACTCACCATCAAACTTTCAAAGAAAACCTCGAGCTCTCACTCTGTGTGGGTGACGTCATACATTAAATATGCATGCAGCGAAAGTCTTGTCTTCAGATCAGGCAATCGTACATAAAAACTTCCATCACAGATAGAAAAATTTATTATTAAAATAATGAGGATGATTACAGTTATCAATCATTATAACCAAATCTGCATACAAATAAGAAGGAGAATGGTGATACAGAGACTTATTTACCGCACGTAGGATTTCTGATAAGAATGCACAAAGAACATAAAATGGAAAGGTGCCTGGAATAGAGGATAATAATATCAGTCAAGCTCATGAATATTCATATTATGGGCGTTACCAACCATTGACATTTGCATACACAATCGTTATTTTATAATGGAAATGCGCTTTTCATTATATATTATATAATGGAAATGCGCTGTTCATTATATATTATATAATGGAAATGTGCTTTTCATTATATATTATATAATGGAAATACGCCTCTCATTATATATTATATAATTGAAATGTGCTTTTCATTATATATTATATAATGGAATGTGCTTTTCATTATATATATTATAATGGAAATACGCTTTTCATTATATATTATATAATGGAAATGTGCTTTTCATTATATATTATATAATGGAAATACGCTTTTCATTATATATTATATAATGGACATGTGCGTTTCATTATATATTATATAATGGAAATACGCTTTTCATTATATATTATATAATGGAAATGGCTTTTCATTATATATTATATAATGGAAATGTGCTTTTCATTATATATTATATAATGGAAATGGCTTTTCATTATATATTATATAATGGAAATGTGCTTTTCATTATATATTATATAATTGAAATATGCTTTTTATTATATATAAATAATGAAAGTGTGAATTGTAATTATTTATAAATAATGGCAATTATATATAAATAATGAAACGTTCTTTGTCATTATTTATAAATAATAAAAATGTGTTAAGAATTATATATAAATAAAAATGTACATTTTCTTGCATTATATGTAAATAATGGTTATTATTTGTTAAATAATGATTATATAACATATAATTTGTCTATATAATTGTTTTACAAACGGCGCCTCATAAGAATCTAGATCAGATGGAGTAAATATATAAATGCTATACAATGTTGATTCAAGATCAAGATCAAAGAAAAAGCTGCACTGCTGTAGACCTAGTTTTAACTTAGACACAGCATGCACCCCATGCACAGACCAAAATCAGGTACCAGCTAGGAGGCAGGACCGCACGCGACCACGGCCGGCTCAGCCCGGGGCTGCGCCACCCAGTACAACGGCTGTGCGTTCGAGCTGCAATACCCAGTGCCCGATCAGACAGTACCAAAAAAAAAATTCATGTTGAAGAATTAGAAAGAAATATATACTCTGGTCTACTGGTATAAATGCATACTTACTTCTAAAATTGACGATTTGGTCGGTCAGCTCCCATTTCCTCAACAACGAAGCAACTTTGTCGTCCGCCATTTCACCGCTGTGTACTCAGGTTGGTGTACTAATACGGTGGGGTCACTCCCCTGCAAAGAGTGACACGTATGACCGTTACCACCAATGCATATAACCCCCTTTTGCGGTCAATTTCAAGGACATTTTGTGAAATTTAACCCCCTTTTTTACGTCAAAACAAGGACAAAATCGTACTTTGGAATACCCCTATTTATAAGATAATTGTAAGGACACTTTCGCAAATTTACCCCTATTTTACCATATTTCAAGGACAAGACTCGGCTCCGAGAATTTTTCTTCCCAGTTTTCTCTTTTCCCTTCCCGGTTTTCTCTTTTCCCTTTTCCTGACCCCTATTTATCAATTTCGGGGACACCTGTGCCCCCCTATTTTTTTTTATTTCGAGGAATATTTTGTCCGCGGACATTGCTTGAAATTGACCCCTTTTTCCGCGATTTTGGTAACGGTCATGCGGTCCGGAAGTCACATTGAGTGACCCCACCAGGACTAATACTAGATCTATATAGGGCCTTTAGTATTGTGACGGAATAGGGGGGGGGGTGGTTAATAGATAATACAATAGAGGAAGGAAGAAGGGGGGTATGGGAGGAAGAAGGGGGGTAAAGAGGAAGAGGGGTGGTGGTGTTGTAATTCCCCAGTGAGAGAGAAAGGGGGGGGGGTGCTTGCATCGCTTGCCACCAAAATCAAGTCAACCTTCACAACACAGTAAGCTGCCACCATCTAGTCTTTAGTAAGAGCGCTAGATTCTCTTCTCTTTACAACTTGATGTTGTAAAGAGATTAATACCAGACCTGTTGGATCACACAATAAACGATATTTAAATGACTTAATTTTTCACAAATCACAGCCTTCTCATTGGCTCATTTCGCACCTCTTGAATTCAACACAACGCACTAATGGTCAACCTTTGACCTGAACCCTGGGCTCTCGTAAACATTCGCGCTAGATTCAACTCGTGCCACGAGCAGCCTGGCTCATCTCCACACTGTTCCACACTTCAAGTAGCTTGTATTTCTTCATTTAGGTGAGTTAAAGCATCATCATAAGATCTGAATAATTCTGTCAGTACTCTGTAAGCATGATTTAATCCTAATATTTGTATCAGACTTGTACAGCTCAGATTCTCTAACGTTCTGCACAACACACTGCAAACATGTGACAGGGCACACTGGGTGTCCTGTACACGCAGTTAAAACACACACATTATTCGCACTCGTATCTTGGGGCACTTTCTCTCACGTCCTCTATCCCAATCCTCCCATAAGGTAGCGAGCAATCTAAAGGCACAATGACATGGATAAGTGTCTGAATAGAACCAGACAATGATTTCGTTCTTCAAGTTCTCAATCGCGCTATCTAAAGAAGATGTAAAAGTACCAATCACCATTCACACTTAACTAACTACTGTAACTAATGTGTAACCAGACATGTATTACTGTAACTTGTAAGAATGAATCTGTCAGCCTAATTGTTCAGGTGAACAAATAACAAGTAACACTTTATTAATGGATTTCAATTAACAGTGAGGCTTTCATGCCTAATTCAACGTTGACGTAATTCAACTCGAAAATGTATGCAATGCAATTACTAAGTATAAGAGTTCAAATGTACATTATATACAGAGGTGTTGTCACTTTTGTCAGACAACCAATCATTTACCTAAGTGATACTAACTTAATTGTATAGACTATAATAGTAGATGCAGTATTATGTTAAAAAGTTCTATAAGGACAGGTTTAAGATGTTACAATAATAGATCATTAGCAACTGAATTCCACTCCAAAGTGTACCTTTTCTTTCCTACTAAAAACATGAGAAAGTAATTCTATTCCGGGCACAACATAGCCACTTCATCTTACGGTCAATCTAGGCTGACCAGCAGCCATCTAATAATTACTTCATTCCAAGTTCAAGTACAAATACTTAACTGCCTTCCTTCTTATTGCCTAGGCATAATCAACTTATGGTATTCGGATTCACCGCTCAACGGGTATTTTACTTACTGGTCTATCCACCCCTAATCTCGTCATGGCAGCTCACTCTGTCGGCATAACCATGCGATCTTTAATCCTTAGGTCTTTACAATAGGTTATAGCCTCAAATTTCCAATTCCTATCCTATTGCTAACTTCCAGAATTACTAATCAGTTCTAAACGTTCTTCAATCTTAAGACAACCGGTTTGTCTAGGGATTCGTTCCTTGCTCTCTGTAATTCAGTGCTTATTAAGGGATCATTATCAATAAGTGTTACTAAGATAAAATATACATGTAAGTTACAGCTCCATAAATACATAAGCTACTTATATTAATTTGTACATCATTAATTGTTGAATTGTGAATCTATTTACAAGTGACTAAATCTTATGCAAGTAATAGCATCAGATCGTATTTACTTTGTTCATAAATATGACGAATATATTTAAAGTACAACTATATAGAATACAATTATTAAATATACAAATGTTCAATATATATAAGTTACAACTGCTTTACATGTAGATAGATATATTCTTAAACTACTAGGTACAGGTGACAGACTAAGTTACTGAGGCCCTCAGCCTCGTCCTCCAGAAATTCATATTACTAGTAATGTATTAGGTCACACAGCAGATATGGTCTATAGTCTAGAGTAAAAATCGATAATAAAAGAGAAAATGTTCCAATGACCAATTAAATAATCAGTCCTCCATTGAATAATAAGCAGTAGCACTAATATTCAATATCTCACAAATAGATAAAAGTTTGTACATGTATAAACATTCTTAGAACTACTTGTCACAGAAACCAGATTGGAATTGGTTAGACCTTTAGGTATACCCGCAAAGGATCAGTTAGTCAAACTATCCAGCGACCTGAAGTACACCTAATTTCAGCGTAGCTAATGATTTATTAGCTACAAAGAGTAAAATCTCTCAACCAAAAGTAATAAATAAAGGGAATATGTTCACCACTTCCAATGCTCATTTCTTAACAGTGACTGTGATATCTGAACTGACATCTCTGTAATGCAATATAATTGTAAAGACATTTTATTAAGTGTTGCATTATTCAATAAATAATTACTGGCACAGTAATATAAAATCCAAGAATTCATGTCCATTTTGTGTATTCTGTTTCAGTTCCAAGCATACATATTGATAACTATTATCTGATAAATGAATACCAATATAACAAGCATCCATATACACAGCAGTCATACTAATCATATGCACAATACCAATTTGGCTAGTTTTGGGCCATCCCATTTTGGCTAGTTTTGGGCCATCCCATTTTGGCTAGATTTTGGCCAATCTGCTTCTGGCCTGTATTCGATTCGGCCTTAAAAACCATGAAAATACACATTTAACTCTAAAATAAACATTAAAACATCAATTTTGGTACAAAGTCCAATAGATTGATCAACATTTGTTGTTGGTGCAATGCAAATCAGCTAATCTGCATATGAATAGCAATGGGCGGAAACGAAAGGAATAATTACCGTAAATCTCGGTTCAACAAGGTTCACAGACAGGTCAGTTTCACAGCGCATCTAATGCCAAAGTGTACAGCCTAGCCACATCGATCAAACTCGGCTATCACATATCAGCGCACTACCATGCGCTATGCGCGTATGCTTTAACCACGCGAATATGTACGCACATGAATATTCATAAATCTTCGCAATAACTATTTCAAAGTAAGTGCGATTACATCAAATAATTTGTAACCTTTATACAAAGAGAAATATATTGATCAAAATAAAGTAAGAGCCTTATTCCGAGAGTACAGACATTTAGAATAATGGTAAGTCAGCCTGACAGTATAACTCAGCAATTTAACAAGTGAAATAGACAAAAATATATGAAAAGATCGAAAAATCAGTCCCACATATATATTTTGGTGTTTCAAGTCAGTTTTATAAAAATGAACAAGTTAGATTTTACGCTGACCGTCACACTACCTCCCTTCTTCTAAATCGCTGTCCCCAGCGACTAAAAAAAAAAAAAAAAAAAATTAAAAATACAACCACTCATTTCTTATCATACATGTACCATACTTTGACATGGTAGTGTATATACAGTACATACAGGTCTATGTGTATTTTTTTTTTCTTCTTCTGTTAAATACAGCATAAATGTAGGCTTAAACGCTAGTTTCAATAAATATACAATAATTAAAATTCTCAATAGTTATAAATACACAATAAATAAAAATTACTCCTCATTACTGTCTTCGTCGAAATTAAAGGTTTTCGTCTCTACCTTCCCTCTTTTTTCCTTCCCGTGCACATGATAATAAGTCTCGGTTACGACGGTCACTGACACCAGTTTTATACGTCCAATTTCTGTTGCTGCTCTGTTTAAACTAATCGTTAATTCCTCTAAGTCTGGTGTTGGTCTTGGGTCAGTTGGGGTGGGCTGTCGGTCATCAGTTGCGTCTGGGGTAGGTTGTCGATCGTCAGTATCCAGGGTTGGTTGTTGATTGTCAAAAGAGTCAGAGAAATAGTCCCCTGGAGACAAAGATAATGTTTCGTACAAATATTTCAACGAAAGTACTGGCAGAGGGGTACTAGATCCTGAGTTAATATCCTTACTCTTCTGTCTTCTTTCCTTTTCTGCTTCTCTTGCCTTCTTAGCAATTCCTTCTCCTACTCGCTCCTCTTCCAACTTCCTTTTCCTTTCCTTCCCCTCTCTCAGGTTTTCTTGCTTCAACGTATAACGATCTGATGCCGCGGAGAAAGCCACTGCTAAAGTATCGCTTTTGGAGAGGTTATGAGTTCTCCTATAATGCCTACGGAATTTAATCCCCTCAGTGGTTTCATATGCGCAAGTCTCGCATTTCAGAGTTAGTTCACGTCCATGGGCCTCTTTCATGTGTCTGTTTAGCTCTGCCCGTGAAGTAAAACCAGCCTTGCATGTACTGCAAAGAAGTAACATCGTAAATCGTAAATCTGGAAGAGGTAGAAACACAGAAACAAAAACAAATTAGTCCCACATCCAATATTCATTTTAATCTCGGTATCGTCCTGGCACACGCCGAGTCCTAGCTGGATTATGACGTTTCAGCCAAGTCTCCAGAGGTGGACCATCATAACCCTTAAGTCTGTCTAAGTGCACTACTTTAGGCTTACATCTCTCACTTCGTTGTATTCGATATACCACATCAGAAAGCTTAGTGATAACTAAGTAAGGACCAGTCCACTTCATGGTTAGCTTAGGACACACTCCTCTCTTCCTCTCTATTCCATACAACCAAACCCAGTCACCAACTTTATAACTGGTGAGTCTAGTGTTCCTATCATACATCTTAGCTTGGCGTTCACCCGTCAAGCGAAGTTTATTTCGGGCTCTATCATGCACATCATGAAGTTTATCTCTCAGTTGCTCTGCATAATCTCCTATTTCACTTCCATTTTCCACAGATGAAGATCGCTCAACCAATATATCTACTGGCAATGAAAGTTCTCTTCCCAACATCATTATTGCCGGAGTTTCTCCCGTTGACTCCTGTACACTTGATCTGTAAGCTAACATGGCATGGGGAAGCAGCTCGTCCCAATCTCTCTGGTTCCTGTCCGGATCGATGAGGGTTCTCACCATGCCAATCAAGGTGCGGTTAAACCGTTCAATCATCCCATCACTCCTGGGATGAAGAGGACACGTACGCGTCTTCTTAATTCCTAGAAGTTTACATACTTCACTCATTAAGTTAGACTCAAAGTTTCTGCCCTGATCAGTGTGGAGCTCATTTGGGATTCCATATCTGCATACAAATTCCTCTACAAAGATATTAGCCACTGTCTTGGCTTCTTGGTTTGGCATAGCATAAGATTCAGTCCATTTAGTGAAATAGTCTCCAATGACCAACACATATCTATTTCCTTTATCTGTCTCGGGCAAAGGTCCCATAATATCCATAGCCACTCTCTCCATCGGGGCTCCAACTCTGTACTGTTGCAAAGGTGCTCTATTCTTCTTAGGTGGATTCTTGGACCGTGCACACACAGTGCATTTCCTAACCCAAGAGCGTACATCAGCGGCTAGTCCTACCCAGTAGAATCTACGTTGAAGTTTGTGTAACGTCTTGTTTACTCCTAGATGAACTCCTGTTTTTGCATCGTGCAAATCAGCCAAGGCCACTGAGCGTAGGGACTTGGGGAGTACAGTTTTCCAGTTCACTTCCTTACCATCATCTGACTCCCATCTTCGAACTAGAATCTCATCTTTTATTTCCAGTAGCTCCCAGTTTATCCAATATGTCTTTACTGCTGAAGATAGCATAGACATTTCCTTCCACTCTGGCTTCAATTGAGACTTCTCTTTCCATTTCAACACAACACTGATATCACCATCTATTAATTGTGCTTTCCTTATTTCAGCAAAGGTGAAAGAAGGTGAAAGACTTATCGCTTCTACTCTCTCCTCAAGTCCAATCGCATCTCCATTAGTTGGTGTCTCCATTATTCATCATAACACGAATTCTGTATATAAAAAAAAAATATATATATATACGAAATAACACCATAAAATATAACATGTCATAAGTAACTATAGTCTATGTATTAACTCAATCTATCTCTTATCATTGCAGACATCATCAAGCCTGCCGCACTGTGAACAGGGGCGTCGAGATAATCCATCGGCATTAGAATGAATTCGACCTGCTCTGTGCACTAAGGTAAGTCGATACTGGCTAACAACTTCCAGCCATCTGGCTACTTGACCTTCAGGATTCTTAAAGTTCATTAACCATCTCAAAGCTCCATGGTCTGTCCGAACCGTCACTTCTTGTCCATACAGATAATGTCGGAAGTGCTTCAAGAAAACCACAATAGCAAGCAGTTCTCTTCTAGTTACACAGTAGTTTTGCTCAGGTTTACTTAGTGTTCTGCTCGCATAGGCAACTACAACTTCATTTCCCTCTTGCTCTTGTGATAGGACGGCTCCGATTCCATACTTGCTAGCATCAGTATCCAAAATGAACGGTACTCCTAATTGTGGATATGCAAGGATTGGTGCAGTGATAAGATTTTCTTTCATCGTCCTGAATGCAATCTCACATGCATCAGTCCAAATGAAAGGATGTTCTTTCTGGGTAAGGGCAGTGAGCGGTTTGACTACATCCGAGAACTTTTTCACGAATCGTCTGTAGTAAGAAGCTAAACCCAGAAAACTCCTTACATCTGTGGCATTGGTAGGTGTAGGCCAGGTCCTAACCACATCTGTTTTTGCAGGGTCCGTGCTAACTCCTCGTTCTGAAACAACATGTCCAAGGTAGAGAACTTCTCGTTGGAAGAGGTGACATTTTTTAGGCTTCAGTTTGAGTTTAGCTTCTCGGAGACGAATGAACACATCCTCTAACCTGTGTACCATTTCCTCAACAGTGGATCCAAACACAACAATGTCATCTAGATAGATGAGGAGGGTCTTCCATTGTAGTCCAACAAATATATTCTCCATTAGTCGTTCGAACGTTGATGGGGCATTACATAGCCCGAATGGCATAACTTCAAACTGAAATAATCCTCCGGGCACCACGAATGCCGACTTCAGTTTTGCATCTTCGTCGAGGGGTACCTGCCAATAACCGGCTGCCAAATCCAGTGTGCAAAAGTATTTTGCACCAGCTAAATAATCGATCGACTCATCAATCCGGGGAAGGGGAAAAGAGTCTTTCACCGTGTGCTTGTTCAGCTCTCGATAATCAATACAAAACCTCTTTGATCCATCCTTCTTTGGCACTAACACTACAGGCGAAGACCATGGGCTTGCTGAAGGTTTAATAATGCCTCTATCTAGCATATCTTGTACCTGTTTTTCCATCTCTTCCCTTTGGCCAATTGGGGAACGTCGTGGTCGCTGTCGGATTGGTGCTAGGCAAGTCGTATGAATGCTATGTCTGACTTTGTCTGTCTTGCCAATGTCGTGATCACCCCGGGAGAACACATCCTGGTAGTCAGAAAGAAGTTTTGCAAGTTTTAGATAATCTGAGCTGTCATTATTCACCTTAGACTTCTCATATAAATCATGGAGAAATTCGGGAACTTGGGTAGCTACATCAATATCCACATTCACATCAATCTGTCTTGTAAGCAAGGTTCCTCCATCAGAGTTTGTACACTGAATGACATTACCATCCATTATCAGCTCACACTTGTCACAGTCTATTGTGCTTTTTGTGGCTAGTAACACATCCATACCTAGTATGCCATCATTCTGAATGTTCGCTACCAAAAACTTGGTTGATAGATAAGCTTGTCCAATTTGCATATTCATAGTTGTAGTCCCAAAAACTCTCACTGGTGCACCATCAGCTTGCTGGAGTTTGATATTAGTGCATTGAAGATCAGTTTCCTCATCTTTTCTAATCCTATTATAGAACGTTTGTGACATTATAGTACTCATAGCTCCAGTATCAATGAGAAAACTAACTACGACTCCATTTATCCGAACTGCAATGTACATTCCTCTCCTTGCCTCATTTATTACGCAGACAGTTAAACTGGCTGCATTTACATCCTCGGACCTTGTTGAGTTGACCGTCCCCCGGTCCATCGGGATGGTCTGCTTCCGTTTCCCTGGGTCTGTTTAGGGCAGTATTTTGCCATATGACCATTCTCTCTACAATTGTAGCAAACTATTCCTACTGATTTGGATTTGTCCATGTTCATTTCCCTCATCATTTCCATCATCTCCCCAAGACTTGACTTTAACCCATCAATTTCCTTTCTCATCTTGTCTACAGGGATTGGTTCCACATTGCTTTCCATGCTACGAACATGACGAGCTGGTCGAGTACGTTCACGAGCCTTCTCAGCCTTGCCGAAAGACTCAGTTGCCAATCCTGCTCGGATAGCATCATCAAGCGTTATTGCATGGGCGCGGAAAATTCCTGCTCGAACTTCTACATCCTCGATAGCATCAGAAAAGTGCCCTCGTGCAAGCCTCTCTCGTGCATCTCTGCTTAACTCCGGGTATGCCAGACAAGTTAAATCTCTGATTGCCTGACCTAGCTCCTGTAAGCTCTCCTTTGGTTGACGACGCCTCGTCCTCAATTCCAATAAGAAATTCTCAGCATCCTCTCCTGGACCAAATCTACGCTCCAAATGTGACACAAGTTCAGAATAAGTAAGCTCACGACCAATGGGAATATTGTTCAACACTTTCAGTGCTGCTCCTTGAAGTCTTGTGGCTAGAAATTGTCCAGCCTCCACATCATTCCATCTATTTAGCCTCATGCAGACATCAAAATGTCGGCGATAATCTGTCCATGGAATTCTGCCTGCAAACTTGTCTGGAAGAACATCTCTCATTCCAGAGTTTGAACCTCTTCGTCTCCTAGAGTCGGTGGATTGGTTACTCGCAACATAAAGCGGATGATTCTGGAAGTCAGTAGGTGTTAACACCTGGCGCCTCTCTCCAGGTATAGCATCTCCAAAGCCTGACATCTCAACAGCGATTTCCGGATCTCGCTCGTCTATTGCCCAGCGTCTTTGGACTTCTTTCTCATCATTGCCAGAGTCACCGGCTGCCATTTCTCCAGGTTGCTCACTAACAGGAGCATCCATCTCAATCTCGTAAATCCCTATTTGATTAATTTTGAGTAACCAAACAAAAATATCTGTCACCTTGTACCTTTACAATGTAAAAGGAGTAGAGCTCCTTCTTAATATTTATTCACATTGAATATTCATTGTGCATGTTATGTAGAGTACACTAACTAAATCTTAACTAAGTAACTATAGGTACACTATTACTCTTAACTAAGCCTTGCTTAATATAGCTTGGTATGCACTTCTGGATGACTATTGATTCTGAACTCGAGTCCTTTATTTCACAGTAACGGCAGTACTCCTTTGACTGCCTTACTCGAATACAAACTAAACTATCGGCTCAACAGATCCTTGCTGTCTCTTGCTTAAGCTTTAGTCTTGACCCACTCGATTCAGACCTCAATACCAATTCTGCTAACTCATAACCACTTAAGCACAATCTACATAATTACATGTATGCCGTGCACTGCACACAGTAAAAGTCAGCTCATGGAATAGATTCAAGCAAAAGTTAGTCAGTGATCAGCCCTTCTCTTCAACCAGAGCCTTGCTCACGAGTGTCCGGCATCAATAACCCTCAGTGGATTTGTCGCCATCAACATCAAGCCATAGCATAACCATACTTAATATACAGTAACCCTACTTGTAAGTTAGTAACGTACTTAGTCTGGTTCACATTAGCTACTTAATGCTAAAGTTTATCTGTCATGTCTAAAACATCGTAAACAACTTGCTGGTACTTTTACTTGCCAATTCACCTCAAAAATTCACTGGAGGAATACTCATCTCCAATTATTTGCAAGTACAAAATTTCTTAAGAAAATGCGCCATTTTGTTCGAACGAAATCATCCCACCGCTGCCACCAAATGTGACGGAATAGGGGGGGGGGTGGTTAATAGATAATACAATAGAGGAAGGAAGAAGGGGGGTATGGGAGGAAGAAGGGGGTAAAGAGGAAGAGGGGTGGTGGTGTTGTAATTCCCCAGTGAGAGAGAAAGGGGGGGGGGGGGGTGCTTGCATCGCTTGCCACCAAAATCAAGTCAACCTTCACAACACAGTAAGCTGCCACCATCTAGTCTTTAGTAAGAGCGCTAGATTCTCTTCTCTTTACAACTTGATGTTGTAAAGAGATTAATACCAGACCTGTTGGATCACACAATAAACGATATTTAAATGACTTAATTTTTCACAAATCACAGCCTTCTCATTGGCTCATTTCGCACCTCTTGAATTCAACACAACGCACTAATGGTCAACCTTTGACCTGAACCCTGGGCTCTCGTAAACATTCGCGCTAGATTCAACTCGTGCCACGAGCAGCCTGGCTCATCTCCACACTGTTCCACACTTCAAGTAGCTTGTATTTCTTCATTTAGGTGAGTTAAAGCATCATCATAAGATCTGAATAATTCTGTCAGTACTCTGTAAGCATGATTTAATCCTAATATTTGTATCAGACTTGTACAGCTCAGATTCTCTAACGTTCTGCACAACACACTGCAAACATGTGACAGGGCACACTGGGTGTCCTGTACACGCAGTTAAAACACACACATTATTCGCACTCGTATCTTGGGGCACTTTCTCTCACGTCCTCTATCCCAATCCTCCCATAAGGTAGCGAGCAATCTAAAGGCACAATGACATGGATAAGTGTCTGAATAGAACCAGACAATGATTTCGTTCTTCAAGTTCTCAATCGCGCTATCTAAAGAAGATGTAAAAGTACCAATCACCATTCACACTTAACTAACTACTGTAACTAATGTGTAACCAGACATGTATTACTGTAACTTGTAAGAATGAATCTGTCAGCCTAATTGTTCAGGTGAACAAATAACAAGTAACACTTTATTAATGGATTTCAATTAACAGTGAGGCTTTCATGCCTAATTCAACGTTGACGTAATTCAACTCGAAAATGTATGCAATGCAATTACTAAGTATAAGAGTTCAAATGTACATTATATACAGAGGTGTTGTCACTTTT